GCTCCCCTAATTTGAAAGGACATGGTAGTATAGTCCACAAAACAATAATCTTATTATTACTTTACCAAGCACACACAAAATTCAGCTCGTTATACATTCCAATCTATTTTGGGACCCATGAGGGAAGCTGGCTCCTTCACTTTATTTTCTGTTACTCTTGTTCTGTATTCTCTTGCTGGTGCCATATCTAGAGCACCCACATCCCCTACCTTGTGGTTGGCAGAGAATTCCTTCTCCCTTTGACTTCTTATCCCCCATCCTCACGCCAATCCATCCCCATGGTCCTGCTTTCTCTTTTATCCCCTTTTCTTTCCTACTCTCAGTTTCTCCTCTCCCAGTTCATAAGGTTTATCAGTTCTTCTGTCCTCAGCTTTTGTTATCAGCTAGGTTGATGGAGTTTAAGGGCCTAGCAGTCAAATGCCTTAGGCATTATGCCACCAGAGCTCCCAGAGGGTAGAAAAGGGGAATTTGAAAAGAGAGGCTTTCACAGGGGTCTGACCTCATGGTATAATATCTACCAAAAAAAAAAAAAAAATCAAATCTCTCACACTTTCCAAATGAACAATTCTATAGGCATTTCCTTTGTGATATTTGGCTAAAAGACTTTCCCTTTGTCCACCAACCAGATCAGATGTCTGGGAGTAGTAGAAAGAGAGTAGTAGAAAGAAAGAACAAAAAAAGTCTTCTTGCTCCGTTGTTGAAGATGGCATGGTTTACACATAACATAAACTTTATCTGTGACATTTTTGGTTCAAACCCACCAGCTGCTCTGCACCATGTGGAAGGAAGATGGGGCAATCTACTTCTATAAACATTTAGAGCCTCGGAAACCCAATGGGGGTCGCTATGAGTTGGAATCAACATGATGGCAGTGAGTTTGGTTTTTGGTTTGATCTTATAAAAGAGATGTTGCCTATAGTGGTTTACCTGGAAAGAATTCCACAACCAAAGCAAAATGAAACAAAAGCAGTGTAACAAGTAGTATGCACTGGGTTGAATTCTGGAGATTTCTAGAAGGACTATTCTAGGACTTGGGATCTTTTCAGCAGAGAACATAAGACAGAGGGAAGCAGAGTGCCACATCTTTCTCTCATGAAGTGGCTGGAGGGTTTGAACCACCAACCTTTTGCTTTAACTTCTGTGGAAATATTTTGTAGTTTCTAACGTGTCTGGGAAGGAGCTCTAGTGGTGTAATGCCTAAGGTATTTGACTGCTAACCAGAAGGCTGGTGGTTCAAACACACCAGCCACTCCTCAGAAGGAAGACTGGACAATCTACTTCCATAGAGATACCGCCTCAGAAACCCAAGGAGGGGTTGCTATGAGTTGAATTGACTTGACGACAGTGAATTCAAACCATGGTGAGAAACTAGAAGTTAAGAATTGACTGTACACCTGCTTTCAATAGGTGGCCTGTGTCTGCTCTAAGTCTGAAAACAGAAAATGTGGTCATTAGAACCACACATGCTGGCATCTGTAGTTCAGCAAATAAACAGGCAGTGGCTGTTTGCTTCATTTGGTGTCCTCGATTGGAAAAAGCTTATGTTCCTGTATGATAAGGAGTTGTTATGAGAATTATCTACTTATTATTTGGAAAATATAAATTTAATTAGAAATAGATATTTGGTAATTGTGTTATGAACACACTGTTAACAAACATCTCATGACTCCAACTCTTTCACCCTCTCCTTGAAGATTAGATTGTGTCTAAGCTATCGTGAGCTAATTTTGAAAGAAACATAATGATGGCTGTGGCTGTTTTGTTAGATCGAATTTCTATTCTCCACTACTTCTTCTCTCTCTCTCAGTTATGATACTTACATTTTAGCTCCTCTTAGCTCAGTCATTTTGCTTTTTTTCAACCACTTAGTTCAGTCTCCTTAAGTACATTCCTACAGGTAAAAATAAAACCTTTTTAGCTATGTGAAAGTACTATATGAAAGACAAGCAACAAAGTAACAGTAACAACCACAAAACAAAAATTACTGCTGTAGATTCGGACTCAGAGAGACCCTATAGGGCACAGCAGAACTGACCCATTGGGTCTCCTAGTCTGTAAATTGTTTTAGAAGCAGACTGCCACATTTTTCTCTCATGGAGTGGCTGGAGGGTTCAAACCACTGATTTTTGGTTAGCAGCTGAGTCCTTTAACCATGTGACACCAGTAATAATAACCCTCCCCACACCCCTTTTTAAAATTTTTCCTTGTTGCTAGTAACTTGAGAAAAGTTCTTACTCTATTTCCTTATTTCCCTTCATTAGGTCACCCTGTGGAACAAAATAGACCATAATTATGGCTGAGAAATGCAAAAGCAGTACCAAGGATATATTTACGGGAAGAAAACGAAAGCTATAGATGTAAAGAAGTGATTTTACACATGCATGTCAGTGACATCAATTTGTACAATCTTGAAAGAACCTAGCAGTCATCTTTAGAAGCTTCATAACTAAAGGCCAGTAGGAAATGTAGAAAGCCTTAAGTACCTAGCTAAGGAGTTTTGACTTTTTTCTAATGGCAAGTTGTTTTGAGCAGGGAGAGATAATGTATTTTAGTAAGATTAATTTAGCATAATTAAGCCCAATGGATTTGAATGGGAAGGGACACAAAGTGTGGAGTTGAGAAGCAGTTGCTATGATAGTTCAAGTTTTAAGGGACAGGGATTGAAACTAAGGTATTTGCAGTGAGCATGGAAAGGAAGTAAGATATGACACGAGAAGAATCAGTAGGACTTGCTGATTGAAATTAGGGGTGAGAATTGTGGGAAAGGGGGAATGAAAGGAGACTCAGTTTTTAGAGTATGGTTGCCTGAAAGAAAGATAGTGCCACCAGCATTAACATATCAAATAGTTAATGATAATTTCAGTTTTAAATGTGCTGAGTTTGAGATTGTAGTAAGATACCCAAGTGGAAAAGTCTAGGATATGATTGGGACTTAGTAATCAAAGTTTGCTATAGATATTTGAGAATTACCCAATACAAAAAAAACAAAACAAAACTCACTGCTATCGAGTCAGATCCAACTCATAGCAACCCCTCCTTGGGTTTTCAAGGCAACATCTCTATGGAAGTAGATTGCCCAGTCTTCCTTCTGAGGAGTGGCTGCTGGGTTTGAACTGCCAGCCTTCTGGTTAGCAGTCAAATGCCTTAGGCACTACGCCACCAGAGCTCCTGGGGTTAGAATTATGATTCAATTTAAGTCAGTGAAGTCAAAAAACACTCGTCTGTTTTCTATAAGAGTATATGATATCTCTGAGCAAAAGCATATAATAAAAGAAGAACACACAGTTGAGGAATTAGCTTTAGAATTTTGGGTAATTTGCAATTAGATGATAGAAAAGGAGAGAGCCAGTAAGAAAGAATGAGGAAGACAAGTCAGAGAGGAAAGAAGAGAACTAAGATAATGTAGACTAATAAGAGCTAAGGGAGGAGGAAGTTTCAAGAAGGAAGTTAAAGAGAGTAAAGAACAGTAGATACTGAGGGATCTAGCACATGGAAGTAATTAATGCTCTTCAAGTGGCAAATCTGAAGATAATGAAATAATGGCCAAATAATGAAAATTATTTTTTTCAGTTCAAGTCAACAAATGTTTATTGGCAGTCATAGATGTTTTCCCCTCGTTTTTCCCAAACTGAGTACGGGTTCACAAAAATCAGATCTATTAGATACAGTTTCTTTGAATGATAAAGGAGATAAACAAGATTTAGGGCAAATTCCAAAAGGAGACAAAGAAAAACTCTTTTTCTTGGACCTATTCTTTGGTCTATAATAAAATATTGGCAAATGGAGTAATTTTAAGGCATTATTTCACTATCTTGAAGAATTTTGTTCAACTACATTAAATTAGAACTCTGTCTGGCCCAGATCATATTCTACCAATAGAACATGATGCTATTTAAAGATTATTATTTGTTTGGTTAAGGTATGAGCTTAAAGTTTGGGTCACGTTATTAAAAGTGACTGCTTTTGGGACTGAATGAAATCTTACTGGATATAAAGAGATTGTATTCAGCTAAAGCTCAATTTTACTTAAAAAAAAAGTGATATGAAGTGAAAAGACTAATGGAACTTAACTTTTCTATTGGCCATTGTCATAGATTGAATTGTGCCCCCCAAAAATATGTGTCAACTTGGCTAGACCATGATTCTCAGTAGTTTGGCAGTTATGTAATGATGTAATCATCACTTATGACATGATCTGATGTGATCAGCCAATCAGTTGTAAGGGGATTAAGGCAGAGTGCAACCCCTTTTATCAGGTCATAGCTCTAGGGTATGGCCTAAATCACCTTCTATCTTACAAAAGATAAAAGGAGAGAGAAAAGAACAGAGAGAAAGAGAGAGAAAGAGCAAGGGGCCTCATTATCACCAAGAAAGAAGACCAGGGAGTGGTGCACATCCATTGGACCTGCGGTCCCTAAGCTAAGAACTTCCTAGACCCAGGGGCAGATCGAGACATATGGAGATTTCCAAGAAAGGCTGAGCCCATAGATACTGAAAAGAGACAAGAACCTTCCCCCAGAGACAACAGAGAAAGCCTTCCCCTAGAGCTGGTGCCCTTTATTTGGACTTCTAGCCTCCTAAACTGCAAGAGAATAAATTTCTGTTTGTCAAAGCCATCCATTTGTGGTATTTCTGTTAGAGCAGCCCTAGATAATTCAGACAACCACTGAACTATACAGCAGCTGTAAAGAAATTAAATAAAAATATTAATATCTGACTCTTGGGGTGGAGCATACAGCTTGTTTTTCAAAGATATTTGGTTATTAAAATATTCATCAGTTTCACCTCTAAGTTTTAGCTATTTGTGGCTTAGTTGTAGAAAGTGTGGTCTTTTCACTTCTTCAAATGTTATTTAACTCTGCTGTTCTTGGGCCCTGGGGTTCTGTCCTGAATGGAGCCAGACCCAGATGAAGATAGAATCGCTGAAATGAAAGGTTGGGAAGTAGCTTCTCCCCTACTTTCCTGAGGAAGATTTAATTATTCTTGGAATTTTATTATAGAAGCTGAAAAGGCAATCTACCAAGTACAAGACAGACAAAACCTATCCTACAACTGTGGCTGAGAGGCCCAAGAATATCAAGAAAAACAGATATAAAGATATCTTGCCCTGTAAGTTCCATTTCTTCCTATAAACTTATACCTTCTCCCAAATTCAATCATTCCTATCCTTTTTTTTTTTTTAACCTATTGCTGTTCCTGGGAACTCTGGTAGCATAGTGCCTAAGGCACTTGACTGCTAACCAGAAGGCTGGTGGTTCAAACCCACCAGCCACTCCTCGGAAGGAAGGTTGGACAATCTACTTCTGTAGTGATACTGCCTTGGAAACCCAA